GAAGACCATGGCCTGGATCAGGCACATCTTAGTCTCCAGCCTGATACTGTTGTTCTTCAGTACTCTGGAGATGTCCCTGACAGCAGACTTTCTCAGTGTAATTTGTCTTTTGATTTCCTTGCTGCTGGTACCAAGAGAGTTGACAGTGGAGCCAAGCAAACTGAAGCTGTTAAGCGTCTCAATCCCTTCACCAACTACCATGATGCCGTCAATTGGCCCAGTGGTGAGAATCTTTGTTTTCTTGATGTTGAGCTTTAATCCATATTGAAGGTTGCAGTCCTTGACCTTCTGCAGCAAGTGCTTCTGGTCATCCTCAGTTTCAGCAAGCAAGGTTGTGTCACCTGCATAACGCAGGTTGTTGATGAGTCTTCCTCCAAGAGTAGCATTATTTTTTTTATGACTCAATCTACTATCTGGCTGAAAGTTGATTTCCAAGAGTGGGTTCAATTCCAACTTTAAAGGGAATCCCAAGGCAATTCTTTTCTAAATTTTCTTTTTCTTATTTTATAAGAGATCTATATTGATTTTTTTCAAGAAAAAAATGATCCAAAAGAATGACGAAATTATTGAACATCATTAAGTTCACATGCAAATGAAATTTTGGTGAAGGCAAAAATAACTACAACAGCATACTGACTAGCAACAACAGACATCTAAGCCAGATTTAGAAGAGGACATGGAATAAGGGTTATAGCTGATTTAGGATAAAGGCAGAATATATCAGAAAGAAAGATACTTGTGTGTTATTGAGTATACAGAAGCATTCAACTGTCATTTATAACAGATTATGAATAATACTGCAAAAGAATGAGACTTCCAGAATTCTTAATTGTACTCATACAGAATCTGTTCATAGACCAAGAGGTAATTGTTTGAATGGCACAAAGGAATACTGGATAGTCTAAAATCAGTAAAAATGTGCATCAGGGTTGTATCCTTTCACTATACTGATTTAATCTGCATATTCTGCAATTAATTTGAAAAATTGTACTGTAGGAAGAAAAAGAAACATAAGTGTTGAAGAAAGACTCATTAACAACCTTTGATATATGGTTATTATAGGCTTGCTTACTGAATGTGAAGAGGACTTAAAGCCCTCACTGATAAAGTTCAAAGACTACAGCCTACAGTGTGATTACTACTCAACAGAAGAGAAAAAAATTCTCACAACTGGAGGGATAAGAACAATAAGAAAAATGAAGAAAAGATTGAAGTTGCAAGGTTTTAATTTAATTTGGTTCCATAATCACTTCCCATGGAAGCAGCAATCGAGAAACCAAATATGTACTTCATTGGGTCCACTCACTAATGTTAAGTTAATCACAATTCTATAAAGTCTCCAAAGCTGAAAAATCTTTATAGGAGAATACTGTCTATATTTCTTCCATGGAATATACTGTGGCTCAAATCGTTATCTATATTTTTTTAAGGTGAAAGATTTGAGATCTATTTTTTAATATTTTTAATATAGATATTTAAAACTATAAATTTTTCTCTACGCATTACTTAAGTTACACTCCATAAATTTTAATATGTTGTCTTTTCATTTGCTCAAAGTATTTCCCTTGTGATTTCCTTTTTGACAAATTTTTTATTTAGGCATCTATAAACTATAGTGTTTATAGTCATTTGAACAAAACATGGTGATAATGTGTGATTTAAAATCAGAAAGAGTGTGTATCAGGGTTGTAACCTTCACTACACTTTTCTAATATGTATGTCAAGCAAGTAATCTCAGAACTGGACTATGTGAAGAATATAGCATACAGATTGCAAGAAGACACATTAGTAACATGCAATATGCAGATGAAACGACTTTGTTGAAAACAAAAGTACTTGCTTAATGAAGGTCAAACACTATAACTTTTACTATGAATTATACTTCACAATAAAAAGAACAAAAATTCTCACAAATAGGCCAATAGCAACATTATGACAAATGGAAAAAATACTGAAGTTTTCAAGGATTTCCTTTTTTTAAAAAAAATTTTTAGTGTGTGTGTGTGTGTACTGTCAAATCGGATCTGACTGGTACAGGAGGAGATTGCCTCTCCTTCTCCAGCAGAGGATCTGGTGGATTTGAACCAATCACCTCTGGGATTGCAGTGCAGCTTCTTGCCACTAGGCCACCAGAGCTCCCTTCAAGGATTTCCTTTTACCTGGGACCACAAACAACATCTATGGAAGCAGGATTCAAGAAATCAAAGAACACAATACCTTGGGCAAATTTGCTGCAAAGGACCTCTTTAAGTCATAAAATATCAGGGATGTCACTTTGAGGACCAGGATGTACCTAACTCCAAGGGATGGTATTTTTAATTGTCTTATATACATGTGTAAACTAGACAAAGGATAAACAAAACCAAAGAAGAATTGATGCCTCTGAATTATTGTTGGCAAAGAATATTGAATATACTGTGAATGTGTAAATCCATCCTGGAAGAAGTAAAACTAGAATGTTCCTTAGAAACAAAGTTGGCAAGGTTTTTTTTCCTCGGAAATTTTTTGTACATGCTATCAGGAGGAATCAGTTCCTGGAGAAGGACAATAAACCTGATAAAGAGTCAGTGAAGAAGAGAAAGATGAGAGAGACAGAGTAACATAACACCTATAAAAATGGACTTAAAACAGCATTGATTGTGAGGATAGCACAAAACCAGACAGTATTTCCGTCTATTGCACATGAGCATTCTGACCCCATGTGCAATAGAATAAAACGACTCACTGGCATCTAACAACATGTTGTTGTGTGCTGCTGAGTCAGAAACCAGATGGCCCTCCAGCGAGTTTTCAGAGGCAGTTTAATCACATAGGAGTAGATAACACTATCCTTTTCCTGTAGAACAGCCGGTGGCTTCGAACCCCGTACCTTTGGGATTTGGAAGCAGGAGTCGCATTCATTTCCTAAACAGCATGCCTCCAGAAACCCTATGAACTTTGATAAATGTCAGTAGTTGTAGAGGGGCTTCAGGCCTTTTGTTCACGGGGTCGCTATGAGTCGTGCTTAACTAGAAGGCAATCAATAACAACCACCACAACCTTTGGGATTGCGTAGTTTCTTACCACTAGGCAATCAGAGCTCCCTAAGAACAACAAATAACAGACATTATATGATTCTAATATTCTTAAATTTATTGAGGCCTGTTTTATGGTCTAAATATAGTCTATCCTGAAGAATATACATCTAAGAGCACCACCATACACACTTAAAAAAAAAGTCTCTTCTGCTGTTACTGGGAAGAGTGGTCTATGTATATCTGTTAAATCTAGATGGTTTCCACGGCCTCTTTTGTTTGTTTTGTTTTTATTTTTTAAATTGTATTCTGATTTATTTACAATGTTTGAATATATTGTTTTTCACAAAAGATCCTTCCCATTTCCTTTACCCCACCCATTCATTGAATTGTGCAACCCCATTATTAACACTCAACCCTGCAATCCATCCTCTCCCCTCTATTTCCAACCTACTCATACTCATACTCATTCTATAATAATGGTTTTATACAGTATTTGTCCTTATGGGACTGAGTTAGTTCACTCAGCATAATGCTGTCCACTCCCTCTCAAGTTAGACAGTAATTTACAAAATCATTGCTCCTGTGTGCTGTGTAGTATTCCATTGTATGAATGTATAACTTCTTAATCCATTCATTTGTGGTTGGACTGCACTGCTTCTTTTAAAGTAGAAACAGAGAAGTCAGTTCAGATTGTACCTAATACTCCATTATAACCCAGTATTCCCTCTGACATCAAGAAGCTATTGTTTTTGCCATTGAGTTATGCTTTAACAACGACAATAATAGCAGTTAATACTTACATAGCAGCTCATTTGTGCCATGCACTGTTCTCTTTTAAATAAAATCACTCACTTAATCCTATCCCAGGCTCACCTTTGCACCCCAAGCAGTTGCTCTTCAGTGTAAGTGGCACTGCCCTCACCCGGCCGACTCTGATTCCGCTCATTCTCAGACTTCTTCTCTTTCTGTGCCTTCATGCAGTTACAGCAACCACAGGGGTCATGACTCTCAGGTATGTCTTCTGAATATTTGTTTCTCCTAATTGCATCAATATATGCTGTAAAACAGGAACTCTTTCATTAGGCCTCATTTTGACCTTTCAAGTCAACTTTGCTACCCACTTTACCTCTCTGGGAAGCTGCGGCTTAAGGGTCAACTCACAGATGTCATCCTGACTTTTAAGTGTCTCAATCATCTTCCCTGAGACAATATAAAAAAAAAGGGGGGGGGAGGCAAACTAAAAAAACTTATAAATGCCAAAGCAGAACTTCTAACATTCACCAGCCTACCTGTTGGGTAACCAGCAAGTAATTTTTACTGAGCTGGGAAATGGGATATGCTCAAAATCCTTCTTTAATTACAGGCCAGGGGGGAAATCTGTGCTGATATTGCTCCTAAAATACCTTTTTGCTGCAAAACGTCCATGCTAAGATTTAAAGTACAGATGAATTAAAATCTTATAAACTAATATTGTTGTTGTTAGGTGCCGTTGATTCAAGTACAACTCATAGAGCCGCTATGAACAACAGATCTGAACCTTGTCCTATCCTGTACCATTTTCATCATCTCTGACACACTTGAACCCATTGTTGCAGTTACTGGGTCCAACTGGTTGAGGGTCTTTCCAAGCAGGCCTTTCCAAAGAATAGCATCTTCTAGTAACATGCCCAAAGTATGTGAGACAAAGCTTTATCATCTTTATTTCCAAAGAGCACTCTGGCTGCACCTTCTCCAAGACATATCTGTTCTTTATAAACTATTCTATAAAATAATATAGAACTAATATATTTAACTAGCTAGTTGAGGGGATATATGAGTAAGACTGCTGTGCTGTGCTGTGTCAATCTACAGACTAAGGTGCGCCTGGGTCAGGCCACTAAAGCTCGAAGTACTTTTTTTTTTAACAAACAAGTATTTATTCTTTATGGTTTAGGAGGCTAGAAGTCTGCATTCAGGGAGCCAGCGCTAAGGAAAGGCTTTCTGTCAGGTTGAGGGAAAAGTCCTTTTCTCTTTCAACAGCTCGATGTACTTTTAACTTGAGGAAGCTCCAGTAAGAAGCTGTGCTACAATCCTGAAGGCACACGGTTCGAGGCCACCAGCTGCTCTGGGGGAGAAGGAACTGCCTCTGAAAACCTGCCGAAGGGTCAGCTATGGGCTGGTTCTGACTCTACGGTACAAAATAACGACAATGTAGAACATACATGTATTGGTTCAATAATGTTTTGCTTGATTTATATAAAGAGGTTTGTGATCAATGTACTATTCAAAATGGAAAAACATTGGTCTATGTGTCCCAATGCAGACTGAGGGTCCAGGATCAGATCACCGCGGGACCGAGGGTCAGATGGCCCACTTTGTTTATGGGGAGATGATTTTGGTAAAAGAGCTGCAGGTGAGCGCATCATTGCGTGTAGGAGGGTCAGACTAGGTGGGGCATGGGCCGGGCAGGCCTGGGGGCAATAAAGCAACAAGTCATCAGTGGTAACTCAGGTGACTAGGCCTGCTTCCAACTCCGGGTATAGCTCTCGACTTCCAGATCCCAGTTCTAGTTTCGTGCAAATCCCCACTACATCCCCATCCAGAATCCCACTCAAGCTCAACATACTCTCATGGGCCTCCATCCCTCACCTAAGGACCAGGATACCAGCACTTACGTGCCCTCAAAGAGCCCCACCCCTCATCTCTTTCTGATCCTGTTTTGTCCTACCATTGGACCAGGACCTGGTACCTTCTGTCCAGCGTTCTCCACTGTTTAGAGTCGCCGCCATAACGGTTGCCTGTCAGCAGGTCCGCCGGCCTCCCCCGCGCTGCAGGCTGAAAGGGAAGGGGGCTCGGAGCGCTGAGGCACGCTGGGCATTGTAGTCCAACCCATATGAATTATGCAGGGTATAGCGAGTCATTAGACTACAACTCCCGGCAGGCTCTGCGCGATTGCCGACAGAGATGCAGAGGTGTAAAGCGGCTTGAACCTTGGCAAGGGAGGCCCGAGGAGATGTCCGATGCTCGCGGGCTGCTGCTAGCTTCTAACTTAGAATAGGGAACTGTGATAACTCCAGAACGCGTTTTCCTCTTTAGAATGAGGTCAGTGGCTCCACCTCACCTATACTTGAGACTTTCCAAGAAGGTGTGACTGAAATCCTCTTTGGGAAGGGCTTCGCAAGCTATCAAAAAGGGCGATAGCATGACCCTTATTCTCCTTAGGGATGCCTATATATAATGCACGCTAATACTTGTGCATCGCAGAGAAAGATGGACCGTCTCCAATGCGATTAAATTGGCTCTATAAACCCGCTGGAAGGTCATTTCTGACTGACAGCCCTCAGCAACAACAAATACTTGTGCAGTTGGTGCTGGAGTCATTCACCATAGACATTATTGGAGTCACTACCGGGTCCTTCAGCAATATAAAGAATAAGTTTGAGGTCGGTGTGGTGGTTTTCTTTTTTTCTGTTGCTTCTCTATTCTATTTTAGAGCCAGTCTGAGGCTTTTTTCTCTCTTTCAGCTGATCGTTTCCTGTTTCCTTCCTTTCTGAAGGACCAGGAAATTAATGAAAAGGAAATGGAGAAATAATCCTGCTGATTCTCACCCAGTTCTACAGGGGGTCTAGCAAATAATAAAGGCAATTATTCTAGGCAGATGAGTAAAGCGTTCTTTCCCAGTGACTCATGACTGTAGGGCGGTGGATGGTTTGAGATGGCCAAAAATGAGGTCTGCAAAATGGGCAAGGATTATGTTTATTCCCAAGTTAAAATTTGCCAGAAATTCACAGAGATCTCACCTAAGAAGATTAAATAAATTATACCAACCAGCAACTTAGAACTCCAACCCTCAATATTTAGAACATTTTTTACAAATTCAACAGTAATTCCATTACGGATACCAAATTCATTCTTCAAAGAGATAGAAAAGGAAATGTCCAGTTTCATTTGAAATGAAAAGAGACCTAGAATAAATAAAGCTCGTCTGAAAAACAAGAATGGAATTGGAGTTATCTTACTTCATGATGTCTAAACCTACTGCACAGCTGTAGTATTCAAAACAGCATGGTATTGGCACAACGATGGACGCATAGATCAGTAGAAGAGAATCCAGAAATCAGCCAGTCAGCCTATGGTCAACTGATACTTGACAAGGTATTATAGCCCATTAAATGAGTAAATTACCAACTCAAAGTGGATCAGAGATATAGGTGTAAAACCCCAAACCATAAAGATTATGGGAGACAAAATGAGAACTAAATTAGAAGCCCGGCCTATGGCATAAAAAGGCTTTCAAACATAGCCAAAAATACTCAACCTTTAAAGATAAAAATCAGTGAATGGGAACTTCTTATCAAATCCCTGGATGAATAAAAAATTTTCTCCTATAAATTTTTCACAGATTTGGAAAACACATTTGGCAACAGCATATCAGACAAGAGTTTCATAACTGAAGTTTATAGAAGACTATAGGGCATCCACAAGAAAAAGACTGATAATCCAATTAAAAAAATGGCAAAAAACATGAAAAGACTCTTCACAAAGGAGAATATCTGGATGGCCAGCAGACACATGAGACAATGTTCAAAATCACTAGCAATCAGAGAGATGCAAATAATAAGATACCATCTCATTCCAGTAGCAGTGTTGTCGTTATGTGCCGTCGAGCCGCTTGCAACTCATAGTGACCCTATGTACAACAGCCCTAAGCCCTGCTCTATCCTGTGCCAATCTCACTGCCTCTGACACACTCATCCTGATTACCCCAGTCACTGAATCAATCCACCTCATGGAGGATCTTCCCCTCTTGCACCGTCCTTCCAGCCTCCCAAGCATGATGTCCCTCTCCAAGGACCTGTCCCTCCTTACAACATGTCCAAAGTATGTCAGATGAAGCCCCAGAATCATTGTCTCCAAGGAACAGCCTGGTTTAACCTTCTCCAGGATAAATTTGTTTGTTTTCTTGGCAGTCGATGGTACATTCAATACTCTTCTCCAGCACCACAGCTCAAAGGCATAAATTCTCCTTCTATCCTTCCTAGTCATTGTCCAACTCTCTGATGCATAACAAGTGATTGCAAAGACCATAGCCTGTATCAGACGCACATTAGTCTCCAGAGTGACACCAT